TGTTCAAATAAATCTACCATTAAAAAAATTTCTTTTGTCACTGGGCAAACGTACAAAATCAGCAGGGGATCAAATACAAATACCATTTTCCACATATGAAACCTAAAATGCTAAATTTGTTGATATGTACCAAAGATCTGGAATGCACCAATAACCAATCAATAAAAACTTTTTCAATAAAAGCTTTTACTATTTGCACTCCTTCTACTGGCACATTCTATTTACATTAATTTTATATTTTCATTTTTTCTTTTTTTTTTTTTTTTTTTTTTTTTTTTTTTTTTTTTTTTTTTTTTTATATTTTTTCCTTACCTACTATATACCATTTTTTATTATTATTATTATTATTATTATTATTATTATTATTATTATTATTATTATTATTATTATCTCTGCTTGCCTGTCTGACATCTCAAACTGGATAAGGGAACACCACCTTAAGCTCAACTTGGCAAAATTTGAGCCTCTTGTCATCCCAACCTCCTCCTCAATCAACCACAATCTCACTGTACAGCTTGGCTCAACCAAACTCAAGCCAACCAGGGCAGTCAGGAACCTTGGAGTGATTCTTGATGACAGCCTGACCTTTACAGACCACATTTCAACAACTGCACGGTCCTATAGGTTCATTCTGTACAACATCAAGAAAATCAGACCTATCTCAACGAACAGGCTACACAGATACTAGTCCAGGCTCTTGTTATCTCAAAACTGGACTACTGCAACTCACTACTCTCTGGCCTCCCAGCCAGCTCCATCAAACACCTTCAGCAGCATGCCTTGTCTTTAACCGGCCCAAAATGACCCATGTCACACCTTTCTTCATCTCCCTCTATTGGCCTGCAGCCGTCCGCATCAAATTCAAGGCTTTGATGCTCACCTTCAAGACCTTGTCTGGAACAGCACCCCCTTACCTCAACACTCTCCTGAAGGCTTACGTTCCCGCACGCATTCTGCGATCGATTAATGACCGATGCTTAGTAGTGCCCACTTAGCGTGGCTCATGGTCTCTTTCCAGAACCTTCACACTATCTGTCCCTCAGTGATGGAATGAACTTCCAACCTCAATCCAGACCACAGGATCGGTCACTATCTACAAAAAAAAGCTCAATACCCACCTCTTCCGTGAACATCTAACTAACCCCTAAAATGCCAACCCTACATTATCTTAAAAAATGAAAAGAAAAAACAAACAAACAAAAAAAACACCTACTCTGGCATTAACGCCCATACACTGCACACTTTGCTTTTCTAGAATTCAATTAAAAGCTGTTGTATAGTTGCACTACTTGTATTGTTCTCTGCTTGATATATTGCTTTGCTTGTATTTTCTCATTTGTAAATCGCTTTGGATGAAAGCGGCTGCTAAATGAATAAATGCAAATTATTACTTTAGTCTCATCAGGCCACAACACAACAGCCTCTAATACAATGCTAATACAAGAAAGTCCTTACCTCTTCATTTTGGCTTGTCATGATGTATGACACACACAGGTTAGCCAGGACGATCGCACTCACGTTGAGGATCTGTGAGATTGGAAAAAAAAAAAGAAAAAAGAAAACATGGCTGCTTATTCAGTTGGAGGATGAGGATCGATAAAACACAGTCAAGTGACATACATATGGACACGGCAAGCTTCCAACACCACACTGAACGTCCCATGCAGTCAAAAGGTTCACATGCTAGCACGCATTTTACCGAAGGCTTTCTTTTGCAGGGACACTCCTGAATGCTACACTGTTCCAGCTAGTGAGCAAAAACAAACAAACACAAATTCAATTTGCAAAAAAATTCAAATCCTACACCTGGTTTACGGCCATGCTTTAATTCCTGTTCGTTATTTATGTTAATGTAAATTCTTAGTTAAACATAACTGACAAGTATGCTGTACATAAATATACACGGTTGAGTCAACTGAAAACCTTAAAAGTGCACATAAATCAAAAAACCACTAGAACACACACTGAATACAATTTAGTGACACCTGTGTGACAAAAACATAAAAAAAAAAAAATGCAGACGCCGAGCGGGCCTTCTGGACTCTGAAGGAGGCCCTCACCAGCAAGCCGGTGCTGCGCAACCCAGACTTTACCCTCCCCTTCTCGGTGCACACCGACGCATCCGAAACCGGGCTGGGCGCAGTTCTCTCCCAGACCTTCGAGGGAGAAGAGCACCCGGTACTCTACATCAGCCGGAAGCTGTCCCCCGCAGAGAGAAGATACACTGCGGTGGAAAGAGAGGCCCTGGCAATAAAGTGGGCCATTGAGGAGCTGCGGTACTACCTGGCGGGCCGACCCTTCATCCTGGTGATGGACCACGCTCCCCTCCAATGGATGGCCAAGGCCAAGGACACTAACGCCAGGGTAACTCATTGGTTTCTCGCCCTGCAGGATTTCTGTTTTCAGGTCCAACACCGGGCGGGGACCCTACACGGGAACGCAGACGGGCTCTCACGGAGGGACGCGCTATGGGCCCACCACCCGGCGGCAGTAGGCTCGATGCTGGGGGGGTGGGGGGTTTGAGGGGGGGAACTGTCGCGACGGACTGACACGCGGCGCGAGAGGAAAGGAAATCGCTCCTTCTCCGACTGCTGTTCCGGCGCGAAGCAGGCAGCCCCGCGCCGAACCCCGCACTTAACGGAAGGGACGCCATGGCGGGGAGGACCCGCCGATGCCGTACTGTCCGGGGATTGGAGGATCGGACGGAAGAATTCCACCACTCCCTAACCGGAAGGCGGAAATAAAAGGACGCCCTCCCGCCCCGGGAAAGTTGAGTACCAACTCACCGAAACGGTTGGCGTCCGAAACGGATTCGAGTACAGGTATTCCCCCCGTACCCGCTTTAAGGGTGACTAATCGCTCTCTCTCTCTCTCTCGCCATATATATTTCTTCGCAAGGCACCGACATGGACGAGGACGGCGCCGGCTGAGACAACACGCAGCGCTGAGGGACAGCTCAAGAACCTCGAGGCTTCTTCTGGGATTCCCCCGACACGCCCCCGAGAGCGTCACGAAGTCAGCCCGGCCCCGGAGACCTACACACACGCCCCCACGAACCTACACTCTACCAAAATGAGAATAAAGCCTCAGCTTTTGCTCTACTCACACCTCCGTGTCTCTGTGCATCGCCCTTTCCCGCTACATTGCTTACATTAAAAGTAGATAAAAATCTAAATATGGAAATACAGAAAATCGAATGTGAAAAACAAAAAAACATTTCATATGGTCACAAATATTTTATCAGCAGTATTATTGTATCTACACTACCAGCAACATTTATTAATATATTTTTTATTTATTACTTTTGAATAACAACTGAAATGTTAACATCAGTTTAGCCGTCTTTAAGATTAAAATTTAAGAGTAAATTATCTTTCAAAGTAGCTTTTAAATGTTTAACATTTGCCGGTAAAATGAGTAAATTAGTCAATTCTTCTCTGATCACACCACACTTACGTTATCATAGTGCTTCTTAACGATGGGCTCGTAGAATCCGATTGCTTCTTTGTATTTGTTCTCCTGCATGAAGAGCACGTGCGCTACATTTAGCTTCCACGTGTCGTGCTCATTACAGAACTCCACCGACTTGCGGAAAATCTTCTCCACCATGTTGTAGTTCTCGCGGTTCCAGTAAATTTTAGCCTGTGCCATGAGCACAGGGATGTATCTGCAAAAAAAATAAACGCATAACTCATAATGGAGCTCAGGATCAATTCGGTCCAATCCAGTGTAGCCAGTTTTTAGCATTAGCAAGTAAAGAGGAAATAAACACGCACTCCTCCAGAAGCTGATCGTAATCCTCGACTGCTTTTTTTAGACCTTCGTCGTCCCGTGTGCGTCGTGACTCCTGCACCTTCAAGGACAAAATGGCTTTTAGTGTGTTTTTTGTGTTATTATACAATAAAATCCATTTATACCCTGTCAGTGTTCTCAATTCAGGTGTTTGTACTTTTTAATGCTCTCGTTCTAACACTTTATCGTTTCTTGTACAACAGTCACTCCATATCCAAGTCTTATAAAACAGATTAAAAAACATGTGTTTTAAAAACAAAACAAAAAAAACCATAATCATTGATGTGGAACTTTGCTGTAAGGAGACGTTTATGTAACATTTATGGAAGGAGTTTTTTGGCTTATTTACATAGTATTTTGTCTTATTGACTAGAGAAAAAAAGAGGCTGATGAGGGAACAACTGTTTATAGCTGTTATACTGTAAATGATAACAAGAGCTAACTTGTTAGTAACTATAAACGGATAAAAAGTACATGTTCTTTAATAAAGAAAAAATTCTAATCATTTACAAACTGCTGTCGTATAATAGGTATACAGTAAAAGATCTTGTAACATACTTTTATGGGAATATAATATCTGTGGTGGTAACAGTAACTCTGCTTAATGTCGTTGATTATTTTCCTATAACAGCACTCCTCCAAGTGTTTTACTCCTTACTTTATGCCTTTGTTCATCATAAGGTAAATGGGGAAAAAATGTAACCTGTTTGGTGACCTTGCGTAACTGCTCCGTCAGTTTTCCCGCCATGTCATCTAACTTCCGAAACGCCTGAAGGAGAAGACACGCAAAAGCTCTAGTTTTGCTAGTACATGCTAAATAACTGTACAGAACAAGCATGGGATGGAACCCAGATTTGTACTTCTCAAATTTGGGTTTGAGGACACCCGAGGCATAGCCGTGAAGCATAGAAGGGGGAGTCTGTGATTTTTTGGTGGAAATCAAAAGCAACTATTAACAAAGTTATTATTTTTAGGGGCCCAAACACCAAAGTCAATTCCAAACGAAATATGGCATAAATCCATACAGTTTGGGGCCGGGGGAGTGGGGGGGATTCAGACCTAACCCAGACCGAAAGTCAACTCAACGTGTTCTATCGAAGTAAAGTTCAGGAGAAGAAAGCTCCACAATACTGCTTACTATTTGACAAATTTAAAATAACGTTTGTGAAATAAATATATAGTCAGAGAGTCTTTGGAATTTATTTATGGACAATGGTAGCTCAGTGGTTAAGTTGTTGGGCTACTGATCGGAACATCATGAGTTCAAACCTCAGCACTGTCAAGCTGCCACTGTTGGGCCCTTGAGCAAGACCTTTAACCCTCAACTGCTGAGATATATAAATGATCCGCTCTGGATAAGGGCCGTCTGCCAAATGCCATGAATGTAAGTTCACAGTTAAATGGGTCCTTGTCTACAAAACTTTTCAGAACCACTGATTTAAACAATATTTCTGGAAGGAGATTAACAAAGCCCCTTCCCATGAAGATCATGTGAAGTAAAATAGTCTTTTTTTATTTGTATGCTTCACAGAGCAACAAAAAACAACAACAATCATCTGAAGTGGAAAATAATAACAATAATAATAATAATTTTACGTGTTTTAATCCCAATATTAGAACTATTGGATCATGGAACTTTGTATTATAGGAATAAATACAAGATTAAACTCATAACAGGCCACGATTAGTCTATATTCAATATATTTTTTTACTTACATATTTTTGTTCAGTGTATTGTTTTTATCGCATATTAAGAATGAGTCCAACTTTAAGGGTGAAGATGAGTATTACCTCCTCTGGAGCGGTTTGACTCGTCAGCATGGCGTCCAGAAACTCATACAGGTACTGAAGCAGAAACAAACAAACAAACAAACAAACAATCAAACAAAAGCAACACACTGAGTCAGTCATTATAAAAATTAAACACTGAATTCTGCATTATTAGCACTGAATATGTTTTCATATAAATAGCCTCCTTAAATAATCTTTAACATTAAATGCTTTAATGTTTTCTTACTGGCGAAAGAAACTTGTAGGTGAGGTGTGCGTTTTCAGCCATCACGTCAGCAGCCATATCGAAATACTGCAAGTAAAAAAAAAAAAGAAGCAATATTTAAACACAGCACAGACTCAAATTCACAGCAGGAATACATTAGTTCTCTATATAAAATTCTTTCCTCAGGGTATTACATAACCGCCCAAAATTCAGCTCATGGAGAACGCAATAAATAAATCAAGTGAATTATTTAAGCTAAAACTAGCGAATGAGTCACACCTCATATTTACAGTAGAGCAGGAGCAGATTGCCGAAGGTGGAGGGAGGAAAAGGGCTCTGCTGCAGGAGGAAAGCGAGCTTCTCAAAGCCTTCTGTTGGCTTGGTATCCATGTTCATGAGTGCCTGGTTGTGAAGAGTGACGGGGTCAAGCTCCTGTGATCAGAAAATGAAGCATTAATGCTAATGTGAAGGATCTGGCTAATTCGTCGAAGATAGTATTATGATCTCATTCAAATTTCACACATTTCACCATTTGTTCTATCTGCAAACGTACAACAGAAATGTTCACAAGATATCATTAAAACAGCCATTTGTAATGTTGCACTGAGAAGATTTTTTCCCTTCCCCCACCTCATCTCAACCACTTATGCTAAAACTACATATGCTTGTATAATAAATAAATATGTAAGTAAATAAAAAAGCAGCAAAGTGGAGCAGCTCTGGTACAGCTGTGGGTGGGGCTAATTTCAGGGCCAGAAAAATGTAGGGCTGAAATAAAGAAACACAGCTATTCAAATGCCATATAACACTGCAGTAGCAGTTAAAAGTATTAAATTATTTGGTTTAGAAACTTGGTGCTTAAAGCAATATTTCTTCAAACAAATACAAGTTATATTTCTTAAATACTTCTTAAAGCAAGCATAGGTTATATTTAAAAAAATATTTCTTGAACCAATATTTTTTAAAACAGCATTCATACAGATGCTTCATAATGAAATTCCAGGATTTATCAAGCTTTACAAAAAATGCCAAACATATTCTTTAGTTCTACATTTTAAATTCCAAAAAAATATATTATTAATCATAATTAAAAGACAACCTATTTATTTTTATATAAAAGAACCATTTCCCAGCCATGATGGACTAAATGTGCATTTCCCAGGCATCTTCACCAGAATGACAATGTACTCTAAGTGAGTGACACCGAGTATGAAATAGTAACTGAACTGCGGCCGATTAAAGTGCACCTGTTATGCTTTTTAAACATGCCTATGTTTAAGGTTTGAGGTCTCATATGATAGGTTTACATGCATCCGAGGTCAGAAACATTTTAATATTCTCATAATTTACATTGCAGCATAGGACCTCATAGGACCATCTCTCTCAGGGCAGTACTGGCCACTCTCTTCTACGGAAAGTAGTTAAGGTTTCTCCCAAAAGTCCCTAGATATGTATAGGGATGCAGCTTGTGAACAGGCAATTGCTTGGGGCCCCAGGCTGTTAGGCGCCCTCAAGAGCTGACATACTTTGCTCCACAGCAACGTCTCAAAAATGTGGCAACGGATGTGACAATAGATGACTTGCAATGATATGACACTCAGAAACCTCCTGAAAGGGGCCCAAGGTCATTGCCATCGACTTTTCAGCTGTGATATTTTAAAAAAAACAGCACCAATGAAGGAAAATGAAGAGGACTTTTCTGTCAGGACAAGACAGTGGTAAGTGGTTCAGATAATGACAACTGTTTTCTGTAACTGATGAAAGCTACTCCGGTCTCCGGAGGTGGAGACTCCAGTCTGGAGTGCGGGTCCAACTCTGCCTGCTGTGACCGAGTCGAGAGACAATTATTAATGTTGTCTCTCTCTGCCATTCACGTTAAACGGCAACACTGCAAATATTCATCACATAGCACACGCTCACAGAAATCACGCTGCCATCTTCAATAAGACAACACAGCATTTGCACTAACCAAGGCCTGTAAGCAGCATTTGTAGAATCAATGCTTAAAGGGTGTTGATGAGCACTGGCCTTATAATGTGGTTTAGTTCCCTAAGAAAGCAATTTATTTTTAATTTATTTTTTTAGATATATATAGTTTGTACTGTGTTTATATTGTTTTTATTTTAAGTGTTTTGCAATGTTTTAGCGTTCTATATATTTATATTTTGTTCTATATTTTTACTCACAACTTTTAATGGTCTTTTGAGCTGAAGTTATTTATTTAAGTTTTTACTGGTCTTTGCATTTATAGTTTGAAAATTGTACTAATGTGAACATTTGAAATAAATACAAAAGTTTAGATTGACATTTTTGGTTGGCGTCAGATTATGTATGACATAATAGTGATGAATGCTGGTTGGAAGGGCCAAGTTTAAGTTGGAGGGGCTTAAATTTCAAAAAGCCAAATTTAAGTACCTCAAGCACCTTATACGAACCCTGTTAAAACAAACATTGGATAGATTTTTAAACATTTCTTTAAACAATATTTGTTAAATCAAACATTTTTTAAAAATGTTTCTTAAAACAAACGCAGGCTATAGTTTTACAATATTTCCTTAAACAATATTTGTCAAAACAGGCATAGGCTGTATTAAAAAAAATAATATTGCCTAAAACATATTCGGCTATATTTAAAAATATATTTCTTAAAACAAAATATTATTTCCGAATAGTATAATGTCTAACGTTGCTATAGAACATTACTATTCGGGGGTTTCTCAAATGAATATAGATGTTAAATGTGATGCAGTGTATGAATTTATGTTAATAATTCCCAAGAGAAATCGCAGTATGTACCTGTAATAAACATATTTCTCAGTAACCATATCGCTGTTTGGCACTAGAGGGAAGCAAAAAACTAAACACACCGCTTTCATTTCCAATCCACTCAGTTCTTTAGCACAAACAAACTTTCTATTGTAAACAAAATGTTCACATATTTGCTTTACGATAATTATCTTTAAATAATCATGAATAAATATTCACCTAATACGGATAATTGTTCTTGTAATGTTGTAACCCATAGACAAACCCATAAACATTTGGAGTTTATGTTGCAATTCGCTGATTTTCTTGGGTCTAACTCGGCTGGACACGTCTCAGTACTCCTAACTACGTTTCCCGCAGGGCTGAAATGAGTGCTTGCATAAGTCAAGGGGCCATTGTTTGGGTTTATTATTTCTCTCCAGGTGCTGGGAAAGAAAGCATGTCTCTGCAGCTTTTCATCAGTTTACACAAGCAAGTGTGTGTGTGTGTGTGTGTGTGTGTTATCCACAGCCAAGCCTTAAACTCCCATCAGAGTCAAAGTAGAACCTTCATTCCACACCAGTGAGGACGTAAAACCTTCCACCCGAGTCATTCTGAGAATGATTTCTCTGTTCAGAAACAAAAAAAGTCCATTAATGAACTCAGAAAAAAGGTCGCATACATGAGCGAGCACGCCTGCTAGAAAAAAAGGGAAAAATCTCTCTGCTGACAGGCATGTGGCTGATCTGACAGCTTCTGCTTGCAAAGACAAGCTCAACATGCAAAGTTATTCAAGTTATTGATGGAGACGAAGGTCAAAAATATGGAAAAGTGCATGGAAAAAATAATAAATGACAAGTACCTCTTCTGACCTGGGTGGCATATCAGTCAGCGCTTCCTGAGCATCATCATCTGTAGAGGTCAAAAACAGGACAAAATCAAGTGACTCAAATTAATTTATTTTATTCACAAGCAGCAGATTTTAATAACAGGGGTATAACTCTCAAGCTTCCACACAATATGATATGATTTGCATTCATAAGTATAGAATTTCATATTTGATGACACCACTTAATTTTGTATGATACAGTTTTGATTCTTAACTCAGTGATTTGATGTTAGGCGATACCAATGAATCTGCTACAATACGATACCATATTGATACATAGGGCAACAATTCCATATTTGATGAGATCACTGCTTCCACAGAATAAGATGTGATTGCAACTCATAAGGCCACAATTCAATATTTGATGATACTTCAGTTTCTATTCTTAGGTCAATGAATTAGTTTTTGGTGATACCACTGAATCCGCTACCATACAGGACCTTCTAACCAATCAGAAACGAGAATTCAAGAACAAGTGTGGTGTTATTTTGTCTGTAGTCTGTACTCACACTTCTTCAGCTGGTATTCGATGGCTGCTTTCAGATTAAAGGCTTCGATCAAGGCCGTCTCATGCAGCACGAGCGTGTTTCCCACACTTTTTACTTCAATCCCTTCAGTTGACATGCCGACTCCGAGTTCTGTGCATAAAATA